CCCCAAAACCCCAAAACCCCAAAACCCCATGGCTTCTTGATTGAATACAGAAGTGAATTTCATGATAAACTTCAATCATATACTATCAGAAAGATAAAGTGCTTCGTAAATTCTATTTAAGCATAATGGCACCCTATCTACTTATACTGAACACCTTAAGATAAAATTAATGCATAGTGTTATTCAATTCATGGATTGAGCTTTCTTTTACCAGACTTCGAAAGCTCCTTCTTGATGATTTTGTATATCTGTTCTTCCTTCATAACTCACAACTTCCCCATTCCTTTCCAAAATCACCAGAGTTGGAATACCATTAATACTATATTTTTGCTTTAAATTCTATATTCTCTGCTCTTCTGTGTATGGGATAGCCTTGAAAGGCATCTCTCTATAGTTTCTTTCGAAAGCATCATTGTTGCCGTCTATCGAGCAAAAGACTATCTCAACTCTTCTACTCTCAGACTCACAATTATTATTGACTTTATTGTAAAACTCTGCCAAAGCTGGAGTGAATAGTCTGCAAGGAGGTGCCCAGTGAGCCCCAAAATATATACCATAGAACTCAGCCCCTGATTGCAAGACAGACTGTACTTCTACTGTATTCGCTCCAGATCTTACTTCTTTGCCAATGATATCCTCCATTAAAATGTTAAATTCTTAAAAAATTGTTTATAACTTCTATAAATTTTAACTTATAATTAAATTTTGCACCTTAGGTTTATAAACTACAAAAATAATTATGTTAAAATCGCTAAAGCATTTACAAAAGAATATTTCAGCTTCATCAGCCATGAAGTTCTCATCTAGGTAAGTTGAAGACATTATTATAATACCGTAGTGTAAGAGATAAAGAGGTAGAATTTTATAAGGCAATAGATGATTGGTGGTCTCCAACAGGACCCTAGGGTTCTCTTCATAAATTTAATAAAGTCAGAGCAAATTTCATTCGCAAAAACTTGATGAACGATGCCATGCCTATTGAAACTTAAGAAGAGTATTTCAGCAAATTCAGAGTACTTGATATTGGCTGTGGAGCTGGCATCTTGTCTGAAAGTCTTGGTAGATTAGGAATGGGAAGTGTTACAGGGATTGACCCAACAGATAAATGTGTGGAATTAGCATAAGCACATCTGAAACTAGATGCTGATCTTGCCAAGAAAGTAACATATAAAAATACTACAGTGGAAGCACTAATAGATGAGAAATTTAACACAAATAATAACCAATCTCCACATAAAGATGAGCTTTATGACTTGGTGTGTTGCTCTGAGGTCATTGAGCATGTCAATGATTAGCAAGAATTCTTGAGAAAATGTGCTAAACTAGTCAAGCCTGAGACAGGGTACTTCTTTCTTTCAACTATTGCCAAAACACCAGAAAGCTATTTCCTCACGATATTAAGTAAGTAAATCTATATTATAATTCTAAAATAGTGGCTGAGTATGTTTTGAGATTGGTACCGAAAGGAACGCATGAGTGGAATCAATATATTAATGTTGAGGACATTGAAGGTGCTCTTTCTTCATAGGCCTTTAGAACTGTGGCTAAAGCAGGTGCAATGGTAACTAATCCACTGACTATGGAAATGGATGAGTTTCCTAATTGGTTAAGAGGAAATTATATGATATTATCTAAGAGATTAATTTGAAAAGTAGTAGACAAAACATTCATGGGATGATAAACCTCACTTGTGGATTAGATAAATCACTTAATTATTAACTTAAACTATAATTTAACTCAACTTATTCAAACAAAGATCAATTAAGAATGCTAATAAACACTCTCATATAACTATTATTAGAATTTGTATCATGCAACATTGAATTTTATCAATGCGATTATCATCACTAAACCTCTATATTCGTGCTCTCTAGTGTATTTTTCTTGAATAATCTGGTAAGGATACTCGTCCTTTCTTAATTACTCTTACTAGTAGGATTTGTCATGTTATGTTTACCTCCAGTAGACTAAAGTGAATTCTTTTTGCTAGATTCTTGATCTCTGTTCATTCTAAGTACTCCAAATTGATCAGAACTCTTAGGGAAATTACTTATATAGTTTACTCGGCCATACTCATTTATAGGTGGATCAAAGAATGACTGAAAGCTTGTGAGAGTAGCAAATGAATCCATTTCAGGCACCCTTGTCCTCAAAAGTTAAGTCTATTGCTGCGAAGCCTGTTATTCCTGATCAGAATCATTAATTATGCGTTTTTTGTTGTTATCAAAATATTAGTTTTGATTATTAGATCTAATAAGCCCAAATATCATTGAAAGCAGCTGAGAAAGTATAGGTACCATATCAGTAAAAATGAACATAAAGGTGTCATAAATGGCACCAAAATAGGTATTTTATTCTTAGCTTTCATCTAATTCTTTACTGAGCTCAGTTTCATCGGCAACTCTAATTGTATTTAGGATACCTCTAAGCAGCAATGTGAAAGATAATATGCAAACTGTTACCCACAGCTTAATGCGAACATTCATATAAAAATCTATAAAGAATTTTTATAATTTCCTCAAAAGTAAAACTCCCGATATGAAAAATACTGTGGCCAAAGTGAGATATATTATTCCAGTAGCCAAGAACAATTTTTACATTATCCTAAAATTTCACATTAAATCAAAATCTTATTTTACTCTGAATTATGATAAGAACATGATTCAGAAAATAGGACTACGTATGAGATTATGATGCCAGTAATGATCCCTGCAATTATAAATTTAAGAATGATCATGTTTCTCTTAAATTCTTCTCCATCTTGATTGATCGCTTCCTGAATCCTCAATAAGAAATAAATCCTAAAATGAGTGTGTAAATCTGGTTGATAACTCTAAGTTTCTTACCATTTGTTAATATTGAAAAGGACTGCAATTGAGAAAAAGAATACCGGCATGACTGATATTAGGGCACCCCCACAATAGCCAACATCAAAATCTTAATCTGTCATAGACACGATACGCAATGAATAGAAAATAATATGACCTAATCATTTAAGGGTATTAATAAAATAGCAATTGAACTTACAAATAAGGGTGATATTAAGAAAGAAAAGCATGAGGGACATTATTTTGTCAGTCATTTATGTGATTTTGAACACTAAGTAAGTGATATATAGCATTACAATAAGCATTATGGCGACAATCATAAGTATTACGGCGTCTGCAATGATAAGTTTAGTAGAAGTTGTCATTGTAAATCAAAATTAATATAATTAAATCATTGATCAATCTAATTATTAAATCAATACCTAAGGGGTTTTGGGGTTTTGGGGTTTTGGGG